CGGTGTGGCACGGTAGGCCCAAAATCTGAGTTGTGGGCTGCACAACAGGCCGTCTAAGTCTTGAGAGGACCTGCTGATCGCGTCGTCCTGTCTGCAACATTAAAGAATTCGTGAGGAGTTACAGGGGATCTCCTTAAATGCCTCCTGATCAGCAACAGGTCCTGTAGTGACAGCCATAGTTTAGGTCCAGGCTATTGACCCTAGTTGATAGGATCCTGTCCGGATTTCGTAGTCCTTAGATCGAGTCAGTAGGTCTTGTCAGTCAAGGGGGTAGAGTCTATAGGTGAGGAGTGGAACCGTTGCCCGGTTGTGCACCTGACACCATGGTTGACACAGGTGGTGGGAAGAGTACTACCCCTTACACCCAAGCTCAGGAGGAGCGATTCGTCGCCATCCTGAGAGAGAGAAGGGAGAAAAAGGAGAAGGAGCTCCTCAAGCAAGCGAAGCTGAAGGCGATAGCTGAGGAGCAGGCCGCGAAGAAGTAGAAATTGGAAAAGGAGATGATCAGATTGCATCAGGAGGAGGAAGAGAGGAAGGGTTGCCGAAGAAGAAGCAGCAGCAGAGGAGGAAGAAGTAGAAGAAGAACCCCTCGAAAGGAGGCGTGGGGAGAGAGAGGAGAAACTAGTTGCACGAAGGTAGAGGATAAGTGGATGGAAAAGAAGATCAGTGAGTGGGTAGCTAATTTATCACTGGGAGAAGATGAAGAGGCACTGTTATACGTGCCCCAGGAGGAGAAAGAAGCATTCGCCAGGGAGCTGGAAGCTAAGGAGGACCCCCTGGAACGCCAGACGTTAGAAGATGAGAAGAGATTGGAGTGGAAATTGCGTCTGGCAAGGGAGAAGAAGAGGAGGAGGGAGGAGGCCAACCGGATGGCCAAAGAAGTGGAGATGATTCAGACGTGCAGGCAGGAAGTACAAGCGTAAGAGGAAACCCCTGCCAAATTAGTTACGATTTTGGGTTACCTTGAGGTATTGAGTTAGGCCTAGCTTGAGCAACATCAGGCCCTGCATTCCATCCGGTCAGGTTTTAGAGAGTTTGCGCGCGACGTGGTGACCCACGTCGGGACCGAAGTAAAGAGATTGAAGGAAGGCGCAAAGAAGTTCTGCGTAGGCGCCAAGGTAGTGGCCACGGCCGAGGCCGAAACGCACCCCCGCAAAGAGCTTGTTAAGCTCAAATTTCCTAACTCTTATAGCGGGAAGAAGGACGATAATTTTGATAACTGGGAGGCCAGCATCAACACATATGTGTATCTGCAGCATATCGCTCCCGAGGAATAAGTCCTTGTGGCCTTTCATGCACTGAAAGATGACGCGGCCAGCTTTGCCAGGTCCCTTGCGTGCGCAGCCGATTGTGAAAACAATATGGTTGCATACTCTAGGCTCACCCCTCTTTCTACTTTCCCTAAACTCCTGCGAGAGAGGTTCGTTGACGCCACAAGGGGCGTCAAAGCCTCCGATAAGCTTCA